AGAAAATATAACAATAATAATATTAATCAATGGGTAATTTTTATTATTAAATAAAACAGGCCTTTATTTTTCCCTTGAATAGTTCAGTCTTCCATAAAAAGTTTAGCTGCCTACTAAGAGGAATATGAGGTTCGTGTATATTTATTAAGGGGAATGCAATCCAACCAGATTCTATTTATAAACAGAAAAGTACCATGCAATTACTATTGTAGAACAAATAGCAATGATATGATTTGATATTATAGCTTATAGTAGTTTATTACCTGAATAATTTTCCGAATTATTGATATTGCGAAATCTCTCGCAGAGTATACTTTGTCTTTGGTTACGAAGCTCTATTACACACGTGTAACTATGTAAACCGTACTTTGGATCAATATCACATCTCGGAGCTTTGACAATCTTTGATGAAAATATTCTAAAGCAGAAAGTAGTTACAATTATAAAAATAGGTGTGATAGAGTATTAAACAGAATAGTGCATACCCATCGACAGTTCCCTTCAAACAGCGATCCAAAAGGTTATGACAAGGAAGTAAATAATGCCAAAAGGCTGCTTCATCATTCCCCTTCCAGGCAGCTAACATTAAATTATCCATAAGATAATAAATGTCAATGTGATCATCTCCAGCCATATTTGTCTTTTTTGTTTTACTCCAATCGAATTTTTTGTCCAACATTAACGACTTCGTAGAAGTTTTACCCAAAGCCTTTTGGTTTTTTATATTGTAGAACAAAGGTATGGAAGCAATAATTCGAACACGTCGTAGTCGAGATAAGGAAATTGATTCTAGACTAAACCACCTAACGCTGGCTGACGTTTTAAAAGTTGAAAAATCCTCAGAATAATATTTATGGTTGTCTCCATCATGATTAGTCAATATTAGAGTCCAGATGATTTTAAGATTAATTATTTGATTAAAGCCAGTTGTCAAACCAGTATATGGATCAGCTTTGGGTTTTTTCAATAACTTCAATCGCTTTTCTTTCGCTCCTCGTATACATTTTATCTTCCAAAGGAAATGTGGATCGTTTGAAGTTTTATTAAGGTATACTTTATATATCTTCTTCCATATTAAGCTATATTGATTATCATTAATTAGATCAAGCCAAGGTTTAATAGATAAAATTTATATCGGTTAGATGGAATGAAATCTATGGTTATTTTACTTTTTAATTATAAATAATACCATACTTATCGCTGGCCAAGCTGGAGAAACGCTGACAAATGCAAGCGACTGATAATAAATCCCCTGGGTTCAAATAAGACAGGATATTAAAGAGCACATCGTCCGGTAATCTGTTGTGGAAAGAAACGGTAAGCGATTCGCTTCGTCTTTCTTTATAATGTGTTTTCTAGTTCAATTGTACGTACTTATCCAGAGACGCAGCACATTTGATACGATTATATGAATACCCTTTAGGGTCTGTTGAACTTCTTGAACGGGGTATCGATGGAAGGACGGAATGAGGAGTTAAATTCCGTCGGTAAAGAATTTGTTTATCACCGGTGTTCTGCGCCATCTGACGGTGTCTACAGCAAAAAAAAGCGCATGCGCATTAAAGGTTCCACAGAATTTCTGGGAAATTTAAAAACGTTCGATTGAATAATAATCAATCTGCAAACATTACTCTAGATATTATGTTTATTTAAATATCATTACGACTATTTACATATATCTAAGTAACAAATAACAAGAGATAAGGCACTTTTAAGTAAAACTAAATATAGGGAGAGAGTCTACGAAATGGAGGATAGATTATTACGAGACAAGCATCTATAGGGGCCACAAAAAACAATTAAATATAAACCAGGAACAGGCTGTTAATGGAATAATTGATTAAATAAACTTTTTTTATTTATCATTTTTAATAAAAAATGTGTTTTATTAAAAAAAAAAAAGATTAATAGAAGGAACTGATCGTTCTAATTCTCATATTCCAATTGATATTTCTATTTCACTGTTTAAAAGCAATTGACGCGTGGCGCTATTATTTTATATTGCAGCGCCGCGTGTCGGCTAAAGCCTTTATTAAAGTGAGGAATGACTGCCTTGGAAACGGGTGGTTTTTCGGACGGCATTTTCGATCCACCTTTAACCGAAAAGGATAGGGAAGAAATCGGATGTTCGATATGGTAAGTTTAAAAAGAAAAATTAGTATTTTAATAACAGTAATCAATCTTATTCAATTAACTGTATTTTTATTCTCTATTTACTCTATTCTCCTTTTTCCTTTCAAAGCCTACTCATGCCGAGGGACGCCCAAGAGTGTATAAATGGCCATATATTTTGCAAAACCTGCATATCACTCTGGGAAAGCAAAAATTCGAAATGTCCAGTCTGTCGAACAGTAACAGCTTATCTACCAAAAATGATTTCCAAGTTCGAAGAATTGACCGTTAAGTGCATTGATTGTAACTGGAAAGGAGATTTAAATCTATATGGAGAACACGAGAAAATACATAAAAAGAATATATCAACCAATCAAACAAATTTAAATTCTCCCCCGAAACGACGAAAACCCGTTAATGATTTGAGACATCACTTAGACGCTTTTGCAAGTGAATTGGAACGACGGAAGAGAGCAGTCGAAAGATTCTATATTGAAAGAGAAAGAAAACGACGACAGTACCAGAGAGAGGTAAACTTACTATCTAGACAGCTGGATTTTTTGGCAGATGACTTAATTAGAGCAAACCAAGAGTTAGAAAGACCTAGACGACCTCGAACTAGATCGTTGACCCATTTAGACGCAGAAAACGTGACGACTAGGGCAAGGGCATCCACGATGCCAAGAGTTGATGTTTGACCATATTATCGCTCAGTGAGAACTTACCCAGTATTAACAATTAAAGGTCATAAAAATGTTGATTATTTTTTAAACGATTTGTACTAAAATGTAAATATGTTAAACACTAGCAGACTAGTTTTAGTATTTATTTTATACGGCGCCTGCATTTAGTGTTCGTGACCTAGTTCCTTATGTACTCGGTGCTTCTCCGCTGCTGTAGAAAATTTTATTTGCTTTTATTGCTGTATGTTTTGTTCGCAGATTTATTGAAAAAAAAAGGAAAAATAGCTGCAAATTCTGTACACTTTTGAATACATTTCGTATCTTGTTTCTACCACTTGAATTATTCATTACTCTTATCGTTCAATCATTTCTCTCCTAGTGTCAATCTACATGGGACAAAAAATTCTGTACAATAATAATAATCATACTCGACTCTGCTGTATATAGGTTGAAATTGACTTAGCAATCAATGCGATTGTCTTTGGCGTCTAGTATAGGCCTGTAGGTTTGCCTGATAAATAAGCACAAGCACACATTGGTTTAAAGATAAGTTGATAAATATAGTATTCTTAGTTAATTTTACTCTTCTTTATTCGCATAATAAATTTAATTTCTACGCTCCATAGTTTATATATAAAGCGAGCGTGGTGAGAAAAAGATACCAAAGACGATTTCCAAGAATTACCCGTTGACCTTAGAATAATTTGGAAGTGAGCCTAGACCAACCCATCTGCCAGCTATTTCTGTCACTTATCAATAATCTATAATAATAATAAAAAATACATTCATTATTTATAAAGATTCTTCTCTTTAAAGAAAAACAATCTATCAATGATCGTTAGTTTGACAGATTATAGATAACTTTATTCGAAAAGGATAAAATGTATCGTATAATTTGTGTTAGATAATACGTCTGATCTTTTACGAAAAAGTCAGAATGTTATGTCTAATATTCCTTTACAACCTAGCGAAAACTTACTAAGTAAATATACGAGTTGATCGTAGGTTAGATTGATTGGATTTGTACAATTTCACCATCGAATACTATTATGGAAATTAAAGCTAGCGGATGTGGAGAATAAGAGACAGAGAGAGGCAGAGAGAGGCAGAGAGAGACAGACAGAGAGAGACAGAGACACACACAGAGACAGAGAGACAGAGCAGCCATTGCATAGAATAGGAGAAAAACGAGGGTAGAATTGAAACAGAATATGTAATAAAACTTGGAGTATCAGGAAATTTTTTCTCTTTAAGCCTATATTTACCATACCTTGATTAATGGTCTTCAAACTCTCATTAACCCGTTTTCCTATTTGACTTAAGCTTTCTACTTTTTTCTCTTTTTAGGATTTTTCAATAAAAATATAAATGTATTATTCAATATTAATCACATGGAGTATAGAGTATCAATACACGAAGTATATACAGGGTAAATTCACATATGGATATATATATATATATATGCTGTATATACTGTATATATATATATATATATATATATATTGTATTTAAGAGCATACATATTCTACATATTACCTAAAAACAAAGATAAAGCTGAAGAAACAACTCTTTCTTTTTTTTTTAAAAAAAAAATTAATATTACAAAAGTTATAAAAAAAAATCTCGCTGTTGGGTGTATAAATCTCGTAAATTTATAAAAGAAATTTACTAAAAAAGGCAAGAAAAGACATATAAAATATATTCGTTACTTCCACTTCAAATCCTCCACTATTCATATATATTTTCTTATTACTTTTCTTTGGAAGATTTTCCGTTTTTGTTTCAGTATTGTCTGGACTCTTAACTGTTGATTCTCTTTTATTGTAAACACGGTCTTGTTTATTTACTGCTACAGAAGGACTAATCACAACCAGAGATCCTCTGGCCGACATCTTTCCCGCTGTGTTTTTCGCTGTGCAAGTGTAAAGTCCGGCATCCTCTGTAGATACATTGAAGATTCTTAAAAAGCCATCAGTAGTTACTCTAAATCTTGCGTTTTCCGAAATTATCACGTTTCCCTTCATCCAATAGACATTAGGTTTCGGATGACCGATTATTTTCCAAGCCAACACTGCAGTTGCTCCCTCAACGACATCCTGAAGAGCTTTTACTTGTATTCTCGGCTTTATATTCACGTTCAAATATGCATTTGCGAAAATGTATCCATGGTGTGAAGAAATGTTACATTGTATCACTTGGATATCTTCGGCTGTAACATTACTTATGATCAAAGAATATTTATTCACAACCCAGCTTGGATCTAGATCAAGTTTAGAGATAGATTCACCATTTATAAACCAAGATGTATGGGCATTGTCTTTATCTTTAGGACTGCATCGAAATTCAACATTGTCTTGTTCATTAGCATCTACAGATAGTGGCATTTTGTCCCACTCAGGCCTTAATCTTTCTGATTTAACCGTTAACTCAATATGATGCTCGGTTCCCCGACAAAAGCAAAAATAAGTTC